ACATTTTTATTAAAAAACATTCTGTCATGTATGACTTTTGCACATCTAATGTGGTATAATATGGTACATGTGCTATCCTAATTTAAAAAAAAACTGCAAAATTCTACAAATTATTGCTACAAAATCAGTCATTTTGATAAAAAAAACAATCAGTCAGTCAATCCTGGTGAGACTGTTTTATGCAGAAAATGTGAACAAAAGTTGAGTGGATTATGGGCCTTATAATAACATAGAAATGACTCTGAACCAATGAATCAGTGATCATGTGAATAATTCTCTCTGACTGAACAGTACAGTGTCAACCATATATTTCAGGCCTAAGTTCAGTGTTCTTCCACTCAAAATGGCAATTCAACCGTTAATGTTTGATGTGTCATTTAATTATCTGATGCACTTTCTTTGTTCTTCAAGACTTTAAGTCTTATAATTACGGTAATTCAGTCATGACGTAAGATGCAGCATTTTAAAGTTTTTAATGTTCAGTAATTGGAGTGAGTGCATTAAGATCGTTTGATCTGAGAAAATTAAATGCTGTTTTTAGTGCTCCACCGCTAATTCCTCTTCATTTCGCCTCAAACTCACGTCTCTGGCCGTCTCTCAATGAAGTGTCTCGGTGTATTTCGCCGTGTAGACGGGTTTAACAGGCTTGTATTTGTTTTAACAGGCCGGGGGTGATAGCGCAGACCCTAATCGCCCACTTTTTCATTCCCTTCAGATGGCTTTCCCATCGTTTTTCCGAACGCTTGTGTGAATTTCTTCCTATTTCCGATCAATCAGCTCCATTTGTCTTAAGCCGGGAGTCTCGGGAGAGATTAGAATAACGCTCGTAATGATAAAAACGGCAGGGCGTTACGGGTCGGCCTCAGAGGGTGGGCTACACCTCGGCCTGGAAAAAAAGGCTCATTGTATCAGCACTTGAGCAGTTTACTGCTCTTTTGGGTCCGTTTCTTAGCCCGGACCTGACCCGGCCGTGATGAATGGGTCTGCAGTCCTGAGGCTCTCCTGATGCAGTCGCAGAGGTCTTAGACCCTCGGTAAGTGATATGACTCGCTCTCCCTGGACTGTTTTTGAACTCGAACATGATTTACGTCTCGTTTTTTGAGGTCTACATCAAGTGACCTTCGCATTTTATGCAGCTTTTCCCAAAGCTTCGTTCTCAGTTTGCTCTGATTGCTCCCATAAAGGCCTTTAAAATTACTTCTCAACGCAAGCGTCATACGCTACTTGTGAAAAGCGTGGAAGATACAGTCATGATAAAGTGGATTTACGAGATTTAAACTGTGAAAATTCGTACAATAAGTAGTATGGTTTTTTTGAATGTTTTTCAAAGAAATCTCTTCTGCTCAGCGAGGCTGCAATTATTTGATTAAAAATGTAGTAAAAATAGTAAAATTGTGAAATATTATTGCAATTAAAAATGACTGTTTTTTGTTTGAATGTATTTCAAAATATAATTTAACCCCCACGCCCCGCCTCAAAAAAAACCCTAATCTTATTATTATCAATGTTGAAAACTATGCAAGCCTGTTTCCGTGAAACAAAATAATAAAAATTCGCAAAACAATTTCGCTCAATAAAAAAAAAAAAAATTGCGACTTTTTAATTCCACACTATAAATAAGATATTTTTATGAATTTATGTCTTGTAATAAAAAGGGTAATTATGACTTTTTATTTAGCTTTTTCTTTTTTTTATTTTTTTTTTTTTTGCAGTTTTTGCTTTTCTGACTTTTTTCTCGCAATTTTTGCGAGAAATCTTTTTTTTTTTTTTTGGATCACAAACTTACTGAAACATTTGCCTGATTTGGTCACATGCCAGATCTCCATTTCAATAATTGAGACTATTTATGCATAAAAATAGTACATTATCATTTTAAATAATTTGTGCATAACTTAAGTAATATTAATGAGAAAAGCCTTAGGCTGATGATACACGGGGCAACTTTTTGAGCAGTGTTGCTTGGGCACTTTTCCATTGAGAACGGGTAACAAATTTCTATCTGGATACTTTAGATCAGTCGTGGGCCCTGTGTCTCAACTGGTTGCCCGTTGACAGCAACATTGCTCAAAAAGTTTTCTCTCCATTTCAATAATTGAGACTATTTATGCATAAAAATAGTACATTATCATTTTAAATAATTTGTGCATAACTTAAGTAATATTAATGAGAAAAGCCTTAGGCTGATGATACACGGGGCAACTTTTTGAGCAGTGTTGCTTGGGCACTTTTCCATTGAGAACGGGTAACAAATTTCTATCTGGATACTTTAGATCAGTTGTGGGCCCTGTGTCTCAACTGGTTGCCCGTTCACAGCAACATTGCTCAAAAAGTTTTCCCCCCCGTGTATCATCAGCCTTACTGTATGTGCAAAGTTGGACATTGTCATGCAGACAAACAAAAAATGCATGCCATTGGAATTATCCCATAATTGACTGTGCTTTGAAAGGTCAGTAGCAAGCGGTTAAAGCTGAAATGATTCAAACTCTGACGGGTTAATGCTTCGCAACATTAACGTGAGTCATGTGAAAAGACCTTAAGTATCTGGATTCATGGAGTCAGTGGTTTACCAATGACAGAAGTTTCCTCATCTGTTTGTTTTACAGGGAATCGTGCAAATATGCATCACGTCGAGCCCGAGTCGTTTATTCTTAATGCACAAAGTTTGTCAAGACGTCTCATCAGGGCGATGGCATTCAAACGCTTGCTGAAACATCATCATTCACGGCTGTGGAGAAGAGATTTAGACCCAGAGAATGAATTAGAGAAATTGGAAAGTTCCTCACACACATCGGTTCACAAGAGCGCGAGAATAAAAAATGGTCTGATTTAGTTTTCTGGCAGTAGAAATGGAAAACAAAAAGTTCTAATTAATCAAAGTGATGCAGGCAGATGTGAAAGGTTGTGAATTACTAATTGAAACCAAAACGTTCAGTCCTGTCGCCCCTCTGTCCACATTTGTCAGCGGTTTTCATCTGTGGAGGGGAAAGGTTTCCTGTAAAGCCTCTGCTAAAATACTGCCCTCAGGGTCTGTGTGTGTGTATGTGTCTTAAGTTTATATTTCTGCTCTCAGTGTTGTTATTTAACGCCTAAACTGCTACATTTTATTAGAAGCATTTTGATTGACCAAACCTGTGAAGAGATGGGCTGTTTGAAAAAGTTACTCCTAAAAGCTGACTGAATAAACATTTCACAGATATGCACATTTAAAATGTACACTAATTGGCTATGTTGGGAATAGCATGCTACTTTACTGTTTTGACTTTTTCTGTAGTATGTCGATGTGTAATTTTCTGTATGCATGGAATACATTGGTGAAATGTGCAGTGTTGTGTCCCACAATGCAATGCCATCAATTTGACTTTTCATTTCCATGTGACGAAATGAAATTATTTATATATATATATATATATATATATACAGTATATATATAATTTAGTTTGTGCGTTAATTTGAGCTTTAATTTCATTTAATTTTTGAGCTTTAATTTAATTTAAGCTTTAATTCTTGAGCTTTAATATAATTTTATTTTATTTTATTTTATTTAAGCTTTATTGCGATTAATTCAAATGACTTTTTATAGGTTTAGTTTTAGTTAACAATAACACCAAATTGGATGCCAATAACATCATTATACATGCTCAAGATGATGAGGTCATGTGACAACAATATCTCATACTAACGTTTGAAATATCATTGCATAATGCATTTTGTTTCACATACTTTACAAAATAGTAGTATGCAACAAGCTGTAGCAAAGTTACATTTAGAATGTTACTAGTATTTTTCAATTTAAAGGAACACTCCACAATTTTTGAAAACATTGGTGAAATGTGCAGTGTTGTGTCCCACAATGCAATGCCATCAATTTGACTTTTCATTTCCATGTGACGAAATGAAATTATTTATATATATATATATATATATATATACAGTATATATATAATTTAGTTTGTGCGTTAATTTGAGCTTTAATTTCATTTAATTTTTGAGCTTTAATTTAATTTAAGCTTTACAGAAGAGTCCAGTTTTAAATAGGAAAAATATAGAAATTTTTTGGTCATTTTTGAGCGAGATGCTAACGGTCTAATCAGATTCAATTATCTATGCTAAGCTACAGCTAAAAGTGCTACCGCCAGGGAATGGATTCGAAAACGGTAAAACTCAACTGTTTAACTCTAGCCTGTTTAAAGTTTAAAATGAGCCTATTTTCTAAAATAGTGGAGTGTTCCTTTAATTTTTCATTGCTTTCAAGAACAAATCATTTTATCTTGACATGTTTTTCCTGTAAAGTTGCTTTCTCGAAGTTTGGCTGCGTATATACGTGACTCATGTCAGATAAATGTGATATAAGCTGTTCTCTCGTATAACCTTGGATACTGATGCTCCCTGCAGCTCTTTCTGCTGCTTTCCCAGGGTGCCGTGGGTCTGTTGACACAGATGCGTCCTGGGGTCTGAAGTCAGTGGGGTGCTTTCATTCTCCTCTTACTGTTCAAACACTGCTGAACATGATTCTGATCTGGGGTCAGGCAAAGAAAAGCAACACTCACCCGGGTTTGGGCTGGTTCTCTGGTTCTGAACGACTGGTAGTTTTCTCACCGAGCAGAACTAGACGTACGAACGCTCTTTAACTGAGCTGTGAGTCTTGTATATGCTGCAAACCAAACTAGTGTGTATATTTTAGTATACTGTACGTTCACAGGAATGTTTGTGTACTGTGTGTGCTTAGGCTCAGATTTGTGGGTAAACTGAAGGAAATCCCAAAGCTACTGTTCCTGAGAGTAGCTTAAATGTTTCCTAACCAGAAGTGACAAAAGTTTAAAATGTCCAAGTTTTTCTGTCTTTTTTCTGAGAGTGAAAATTTTGAGCCAATCAGAATGTTTCATTTTTTATATGCATATGCTCTACTGTTCAAAAAATTGAGGCCAGTAATATTTTTTAGGAAAATAATTCATACTTTTATTTAGCAAGGGTGTATATTTTCCTCTTTCTTTGTTCTGCAGTGCGTTTTAATGGAACTAAAGATGTGCCCACCTGCATGGATAAAAATCACGGCTGTGCCCACATTTGCAGAGAGACACCCAAAGGAGGCATCGCCTGTGAGTGCAGACCTGGATTTCAGCTCACCAAGAACAACCGAGACTGTAAATGTGAGTCAAATCACAGTTCATCAGCAAGAGAAATTACATGCACACTCCCCATGGGAATATTAGAAGCATTTGAGCATTTTTCTACCTTTTTTATGGGTGGGTGGATGGATGAATAATTAGATAGATGGATAGATGCATAGATAGTAGGGCTGTGCAATTAATAGCATGTGATTGTCATGCGCATCTCGTCAGTAAAGCCGGTTCTGTGATTAGTAGTAAATCTCCACCTGCTTTCAGATGGAGCGGCATTTACTACACAGAGTCATAGTTCACTGACAAGTAGGCAATATCGCGTTCATTATCGCAGATCGAATCGCCTGTGATTATGAACACGATTTTGCGTAGCTTGTCACTGAACTACGGCTCTGTGTAGTAAATGCTGCTCTATCTGAAAGCAGGTGATGGAGATTTACTACTAATCACAGAACCGGCTTTACTGACGAGATGCGCATGACAATCACATGCGATTAATTGCACAGCCCTACTAGATAGATGGGTGGATGGGCAGAACGATGCATCGATGGATGGATGGATGAATAAATGGATGGACAGAACAATGGATGGATGGATAGATGGACAGAATGTTGCATGAATGGGTGGATGGACAGAATGACACATGAATTGAGGATCGATAGATGGAAGAGTGAATGGATGGACAACAATGGATGGATAGATAGATAGATGGATAGATGCGTGGATGAATGGATACACAGAATGATGGATGAATGGATAGATGGACAGAACGACGCATGAATGGATGGATAGGTGGGTGGACAAAATGATGGATGGATGGACAGAACGACGCATGAATGGATGGATGGACAGAATGATGGATGGATGGGCAGAATGATGCATGAATGAATGGATAGACAGAACAATGGATGGATAGATAGATAGATAGATGGATAGATGCATAGATGGATGGGCAGAACGATGCATGAATGAATAGATGGATGATGAATGAATGGATGGACAGAACAATGGATGGATGGATGGATGATGGATAGAATGATGGATGGATGGATGGATGGACAGAACAATGCATGAAGGGATGGATGAATGGACAGATGGATGGATAGACAAAATGATGGATGGATAGATGGATAGATGGATGGATGGATGGATGGATGGATGGATGGATGGATGGATGGATGGATAGATAGATAGATAGATGGATAGATGCATAGATGGATGGGCAGAACGATGCATGAATGAATAGATGGATGATGAATGAATGGATGTACAGAACAATGGATGGATGGATGGATGATGGATAGAATGATGGATGGATGGATGGATGGACAGAACAATGCATGAAGGGATGGATGAATGGACAGATGGATGGATAGACAAAATGATGGATGGATAGGCAGAATGATGCATGAATGGATGATGGACAAAACAATGGATTGATAAATGGAATAATAGTTGGATGGATGGATGGATGGATGGATGACAGAATGACACATGAATTGAGGATCGATAGATGGAAGAGTAAATGGATGGACAGAACAATGGATGGATGAATGGATAGATAGATGATAGATGTGTGGATGAATGGATGGATGCACAGAATGATGGATGCATGGATGGATGGACAGAACGATACATGAATGGATAGATGGACAGAACGATGCCTGAATGGATGGACTGGTGGGCGGACAGAATGATGGATGAATGGATGGATGGACAGAACGACGCATGGATGGATGGATGGACAGAATGATGGATGGATGGGCAGAATGATGCATAAATGAATGGATAGACAGAACGATGGATGAATAGATAGATGGATAGATGCATAGATGGAAGGGTAGAACGATGCATGAATGAATAGATGGATGATGAATGAATGAATGGATGGACAGAACAATGGATGGATGGATGATGGATAGAAATATGGATGGATGGATGGACAGAACAATGCATGAAGGGATGGATGGATGGACAGAACGATCAATGAATGGATGGATAGACAAAATGATGGATGGATAGGCAGAACGATGCATGAATGGATGATGGATGGATGGACAAAACAATGGATTGATAAATGGAATGATAGTTGGATGGATGGATGGATGGATGGACAGAATGATGCATGAATAGATGGATGGACAGAATGATGGATGGATGGATGGATGGATGGCTAAATGATGGTTGGAAACGGTTAGTGATCTTTAATCCTGCTGTTGTTCTGGTTTAGTGACGTGTAACTATGGTAACGGTGGCTGTCAGCACATCTGTGAGGAGATGGACCATGGGCCCCGGTGTTCGTGTCACATGAAGTTTGCGCTTCACTCTGATGGGAAGACCTGTGTAGGTGAGTTACACCCTCTACACCACCACAGCACTCCACCTGGCCAGCTGCTGCAACTACACTCAACACTTCTGACAGTCTTTACCAGCGTTATCCAGAGGACTCTGATTAGACTTGAAAAAGTTGTCACTAGAAGACAAAAAATAAAGGCGATCGGTGACGTCAACCAAAAAGAAAATAGTTTCAGAGATTATGATGTTTCGCTGAAACAAATAATGTGCATTGATGAATTGCTTAGGGGTTCGTTTAGTTAATAGGGTTGATTTTGATTTCACATTGACTTCCTAGTGAACTCCAGACATTGTTAAAGCAAAAGCATTGGCTTCTGATGGAAAATCCGAACTTAATGTTCTGTGAAGTCCAGAGTTGATTTTATGTGGTGGAACCAAAGCTCCGAGCTTCACGCGACGTTCAGAACGTACAGTGAGAAATGACTGTTCTGTGCATCTCTAATGTTTTACAGTGAGCACATTGTCCTTTAGTTACGCGTCATTTACATGCATATGTTAGTGTTTCCATTAGTCTAGTCACGGAGGACGATTTACAGGCATTGTGGGAGCTATAAACTGAAAGTTGAGCGCAAAAAGACACTTACGCATGAGATATAGACTTGATGTATTTGAGCATATATCAAACTTAGGAAATAAAGATCACTGAATGTGAAGAGTTATGTGCTTTCCTGTTCTAGTTGTCTTTTTTCTGCTTAACCTTGCTTGCTTGATTCACTGAACACATTTCCCGTCAACTTTTCACATTATTAAAAAGCACTGATTGGTCATAATGCTGTTTAAAGCTGCAGTGTGTGATGTATGAGCCGTTAGCATCACTAAATGAATAAAGATTGTTTCTTTATAGTTGAATTATTTTAGTGTTTTATGATCCAAAAAATGACACACAGTAGCTTTATGGCCTGAATAATAAGTGTGTGTATGTGTGTGCCAATCACAGCTGTTCTGTACAACTCTTTAGCCAATCGCAGCTTTGCTTTGTATTTCTGCAGCCAATCACAGCAGACCTCTGTATTACTGATCACTGATTTATGAATGACTACCTGTAGCAATCCACAGCAGACTTGCATCTGTTTACACCAGGTCTGAATTACACGTGATGCTAAATTTGAATATCTAAGAAAATACCTAAATATCTAAAATATCAACAAAAAAAAAAAGTTTTTAAAAAAGAGAGAGAGAGAGATTATACGATGATTCATTGTTATGTATGTTTTATTTAGAGAGTAGAATGATTTTCTACTGTATATATAGATAATATATAGAAAATTTAATAATAATAATAAAATAATAATAATACTTTATTAATTTATTATATAATAAGTATTATATAATGATTTTGGTTAATGTGTCATTAGCATAATAATAATAATAACAACAACAATAATAATAATATTTTACTGATCATATCATATATCATAAGCTTATTGTTATTATTATTAATAATAATATTGTTATTATTATTACAAATAATAATCAGTCAATTATTGTTGTTGTTGTTGTTTTTAGATCAGTTATTAATTTTTGATTATTTGTCCTTAGCTTAATGATAGTAATAATAATAATAATAATAATAATAATAGCATGCTACTACTACTACTACTAATCAATAATAAATTATTTTTAAATACTACATTCTAAATGTATTGTTTATAAATGCATAAGATTTTTGTAATATTATTAGATCTATTAGCATTTCTATTTAAATGTAAAAAAAAAATAAAATTTATTGATATTTTGTTTCTCTCTCTTTTTGTACTATGATCTGGACATTTGTTGTGAGGTTCACCCATCATTTTTGTATTTTTGTTAATACAAAAATAAATATAATAATATTTAATACTTTGTCGTTTAGTCACGTTGAACTCAAATGCCAATATTACCGCGAGTGAGCGACAGAAACTGATGCTCATAAAAAATACACTTTTTATCTGTGTTTTTTGTACTCTGAAGCTGAAAATGGATCTTGGGAGCGTCGGCTGTAATAGTTGGAAAAGTCATAAAACAAGCGGCCCCGCAGACTTCAGGATGGCATTATGAATCCTGAATTAGCAACCGGCTTCACATCCGGCCACATCCAAACAGAAACACACATGCACACGCTCTCGAAGACAGAGCTTTAAAATCAGCATTTCAGCATTCAGCCTCAAAGTCAGGGAACTTGTTTCCCGAGTGAGCGGCGGTTAGTTTGGCTTCTGATGTGTTTCTTGCACGCCTCTTTTACTCTGGATCCAGCTCTTATGTCAAGGTCTCACTCAGACGCCCTATTATTACCCCTCCGTTCCCCCCGAAACCTGCCAGCAGCGCCGCAAATGAGATGTCTGGCTTGTCTGACGGCCCCCGAAGACCAAACCGAGCGCTCTGCTGAGTAAAGCGCAGGCCGCAGAGGCCAGAGGGCTGCGGTGAATCTGTCAGGGTCGCACATTTCCCCCCGCAGGATTCCAGATCGAGCCGCTTGCCCAAGGCTGGGCTGCGGTCGCCGGGTCGCTCTCTCATGAGCTCTAATAGGCCAGAAAGCCACAATAAAACAACCTGAACTTATTAATGAGCCCCTGTTGAGCGATGGGTTGGAGTCACGGAGTAATTGATGTGGCCTACCCACAATCCCCTGAGGAGATGGAAACCGTTCGCATGATAAGAGAAGGTGAGGAGAGAGGCTGGATGGATGTTTCTTCAACGACAGGCACTTCTGTGTCCCGGAGGTCGAGTTTTAGAACTTATGACTGATGAAAGTCACATTTAAACTTTCTTGGAAACTTTTTACTGCATGCCTTTATTATTTCTTGCTACTTTTTAAATGCAATAGTAAAATATGTAGTGTTAAAAAAGTATATGTCTATATATACTTGAAGTATGAAAGATTTTGATGTTTTTGAGCCTTTTATGCTCACTGAGGCTGCATTTATTTGATCAAAAATACAGGAAAAATTATTACAATTTTAAAAAAGTTTCTTATAGTTTAATGTATTTTGAAATATACTTTATTTCTGTGATGAAAAGCTGAATTTTCAGCTTTTCAGCAATTTTCATCTTGTCTTTAGTGTAATAGTAATAGAACTCTTTGTAAAATTACAGATGTTTTTACTGTTACTTTTAATCAGTTTAATGCTATTTAATTTAATAATATTAAGTTAATAAAATTAAATATTAAAATAATTTAAATATTATTTTAATTTTAATTTAGTTTAATTAAATATTATTTATATTATTATTATTATTATTATTATTAAGAAATAAAACAAATAAGAAATTAGCAAAATAAAACAAAAAAGTTATTGAAAATATTTCTTTGTATTTATGGCCTAATAATAATAATAATAATTATAATAATAATTATTATTATAATAATAATAATTATTATAATAATAATACTTATAATATGTCAATTTATACAATTTATACAATTTTGG